TTTGATCGCCTCTCAGTGTTTCGTCCAGGGTAAGTTTTATCCTGCCAGGGGTAAGTAGAGAGGCTGACAGCTAAGACATCTGTGAACAAGGTTGGCTAGTGATGAATTGCTTCTCTGAGGGACCCACCCTTCAGCTTTGAAAAAAAGAGTAGCTTGGGCTGCCTCAGAATCATCTAGAACTTTCTGGAAGTAGTTGGTTGCTACGTGCATTTTTCTTAACATTTTAAATTTTATTCACTTAATGCCTTTTTGCCTTTTAAACCCCCACCCCTCACCCTTTATTTAACAAATCAAACTTTACAACCACATGAGTCAACTGATTTTCTTGAAGCTGGCGGTTGGTCTCTGCCGAGGTGTCCCTCCTTGTTGGCAATGCCACCTTCTAGATATGGCCTCTCTTATGCATGTGCAGAAAGACATCTCATGTCTTTCTCATAAGAACAGCAGCCCTGTCCTCCCTCAATACATCTTAACTCTAATTACCTTCATAAGGGCCATCTCCAAATACAGTTACCTTTGGGGTTAGGGCTTCTGCTGACAGGTTCCCGGGAACAGAACTCAGTCTGAAGTATCTGTAAAGTCTTGAGCGTATATGCCATCTCTTCCTCTGCCTTTCTCTGTCTCCTAGAGTCCTCCTGTGTGACAGGCAAGAGTCTCGTCCAGCTGAATGGCTGGTTAGGAAATTCTTCGGCTCTCTGCCGGCCTCCTGGGCCAGTGGGCACTCTGTGCCTGTGGTGACAGTGGCGAGGGCGATGCTGAACAACCTGGTGAGTCCCAGCAGTGGACAAATGGAACTTCTGGAAAATAAAGCCATCATCCACCTGGGGAAAGACAGTGATGTGCCCAAACCGTGACCGCGCAGGAGGACAGCTTGTTCTCAAACCTCAGTGCCTGTCACCAAATCAGTCACTTGGGGGTCTATAAAACAGTCTCTCTCTAGTCTTCATGGTGTCCCTCTCCTCATCCATGCAGCTCTCTGGAAACAACAGTGCTCTGCCCCAGTTGCTGATGTATGAGTTGTACATTTAAGTCACCCAGGGAGCTGTGGAAGGACAGGTTTGTGTCACAAACCTTCTGGAGTTGGTGGGTTGAGGACAGGGATCTGCGATTTTGACTTCCATGTCCACTGGAGGCCTCTGCGCCTCTGGTTGTGAGCCCAGCTTTGAAGCACTCCTACAGAGACACCTGAGCAGTGGGGCCCTCACACTCCAGGCAGGCGAGTGCTGGTGAGGCTTGTTAACAGTTTAGTCTCCAAGCTGCATGGTGCTGAGTGGACACTGTGCCTTTTCTACATGTCAGCATGTGATTCTTTGAGGAATAAAAGTAGATGGACAAACGCTGGGTGCTGTTTCAGTTGCTGAAAACTGTGGAGGTATGAGTGGGAAGGTACAGTGATGGTCCCCGGGGATGGCATCCCAGCCCCCAACACTGCAGGTGTCTGCAGAATCTTAGGTTTATGTTCTTGGCGCTCCTAACTCTCCAGCAACCTTATAAAGCCATTCTGTTGCCCTCACATCTTTATTTTTTTCATTTAAAGTTCTATTCCCACCCTCATATTGCAGGTGGTGATCTGAGGCACACAGTGGTCAAGTACCTTGTTCAAGGGTCGAGATTAGCCCCGCTCAGCCTGGCCCCATAGCTTGTATTTATTTTTTATTTGTGTGTTTGCCATATGTGTGCTTTCCCTCAGGCCCGAAGCTAGTATCAGATCCCCTGGACCTGGGGTTACAGGTCCACCTATGCGGGTGCTAGGAACTGAACTCAGGTCCTCTGGAAGAGCAGCAAGTGCTTTTAACCGCCAAGCCATCTATCCAGCCCCAGAAGCTGGTTTCTTTAACCACTCTGTAAAAGTACCCCATGTCCATCTATTTCTAGAAGGTTCCAATTAATTTAGCACATCGAGGATGCATACAACTTAAATTCTTGGGTTTCTCCATTGATCCAGGGTCCTTACAATTAACTGCCAACAGTGGTTAATCTAAAATACTTTGGCACTAAACTCAAAGACTCAGTGTGATGTTCTTTTCTATTGTTTTGTTTTGTGACAGGGTCTTGCGTAGCCCAGGCTGGCCTCAAATTCAATAAATATTCCAGGATGACCTTGAACTTGTGATACTTCGGCCTCCACCTCCCAAGTTTTTTGGGGTTACAGGTGTACCCCATCATGCCTAGTTTCTGCAGCACTGGATTGAACCCAAGGCTTCATGCATGCTAGGTAAGCAGTTTACCAACTGAGCTATGTTCCAGTCTGAGCTGATACAATTTAAACAGGCGGGGAAGGAAAACAGAGTGGGAAGGGTCAGTGCCCAGAGGAGCACACGGTGCCAGTTCCATCACGGAGAAGGCGCCACTTAACTTCTGTGCTGGGGAACCAAGTCACTTGACTTCAGTGACTGAGTCTATTGTTCCAGTTACACCTCACGTTCTGGTGGACACTGCTGAGTGAATACCATCCCCTACTGTATGTGGGTGTACATTCTTGGAAGACAGTACACATTGTCAATGTTAAGTCTTCTAGAGCAGACCGAGATCTTGGAATGTGTGTTACAGGGAGACAGCGCTGGATGCATGCCTGTAATCCTAGCACTAGGGAGGCTGAGGCAGGAGGACCATGGTTCAAGGTCAGCCTGGACTGGAGTACAACCCTGTCTCAAAATTAGAAGTTTACTTCCTGCCAGTGGAGTTCCCTTGTGGCTGGGCTTGGAAGAGCCTGAACGTGTTTCCATCTCATTAGTCTTGAGCCCCCAGAAGTGAAGCAGCCTTTGGGGGTACTCATAAGAACGTGCTGGGCCTTGTAGGCTCTGAAAGCAAGCAGATTCCGTGGCCAATTACTCTCTACCATTTCTGCACATCAAACATTAAGGAGCAAGTGAGTCCATACTCAGATCTCTGTAACAGTAGAGTGATGTTAGAAGGATCTAGGTTCATGTTTGGAAGAGAAAATTAGCCCATGCCCAAGGCCTGCACCATGGTGAAATGTCAGCTTCACAGAAGCTTCTGGCTCAGTCACCTCCAGACTGGCATTGTGGTCACTGACAACATCTGGGCATCACTGTGATTCAGCAGGTTCCTTCAACAGAGAAAAATGGGCCTTGCTGGAGAGAAAAGTTATACCAGGAAAGTTGGATGGGCCCGGGTAAAGAAAGGGCATACATTCATTCATTTCTTCAGCAAATGCTTATCAAGTTGGTGATGAATTAGTGAGCAGTGTACAAGCCAAGATTTCTGTCCATGTCCTAGAATGTCAGGGTGCTTCAGAAGTTAACATTTGGTGGGCTCCATCCTCTTCTGCGAGTCACCGTGGAGTACGGTCCTTGGGAAAGAAGGAAAAGAGGAGAAGGGGAGGGAGAGGAGATGGAGAAGATAAGTAAATAGATGGTGGCAGTAAGAAAGACACAGGCTATGCCTGGAATAACACAGCCTGTTTCTAGAGATGGTGGAAGACCAATCACACCAGGGAGGACTGCAGAGAAACGGTGTCTTCTGGACATGATAGGACCTCTGCACTCAAACTCAGCAGCTGTGGTTGCCTGTACAAGATCGAGCCAGTCAGCAGTCTAACAAGGGGTGGGGTGGGGGTGGGGATTCATGAGCTCCCAACTGAGGAGCCTTGGGTGAGGGAGAGGGAGTTTTCTTTAAGGATGTGGCCTCTGGTAGGTTGGCCACTCCAGTGAATGTCCCCACACCCAGAGAATATGGACTCCAGAAACTGGAACCCATGTTATTTTTTTTCAAAGGATACAAAGGTGAAGGGGAGGGACATCGGAGTGGGTAGATCTGAGAGGAGTTAAGGGGAGGAGGGGGAGGAATATGATCAAAATACATTGTATGAAATTCTCAATAAAAATACTAAAAAATATATAAATGGCGGCGATGTGGGCAAAGTCCTGGTGGTGGAGCCGACTAGGAGGAACCGCCCACTGGAGAGCTTCAGAGATCAGCATGTGTGCATGGTGGGGAGCTGAGCTGAGCTGATGGCGAGCATTATGCAGGCCTAGCTGGCCATGTCCTCAAACATGCCCTGTGCACAGTTCAGCCTTAGACTGCAGCTTGGAAGCATTACCTATGCAGAAGTACTGCTGCCCACCTGTCTGAGGGAATCCCATGGTTAGGTACTAGGAATATTAGAAAGGAGGCAGCCTGAGGAGTGGGAATCACCCCTTCGCCAGGGCAGACAGCCTCCTTTGCTGGCGCGTATCAAACAGTCCACCTGTTTCCATGGTATGGGATCAAGTTAATGTCTAAACGTTTCATATACATGAATCCATGTAACCCTTACTATAGCCCTCAGGCTACTGCAGTCGCGATCATGTTTTACCAGCCAGGAAACTGAGGCTGAGAGAAGGCAGGGAGGGATACCTGCTCATGATCTTAGACTCCTAACTAAGGTTGAAATAGGGTTCAAACTCTGTGCAGAGCCTATGTTCTCACTTTCCCACTTTAACGCCCCTAGTAGGGGGTGGGGTTTGGCTCCATTTGACTTCAACAGTGCACATCTACCCATCAGGAAAGTTGTTCCCCTGAGCCTTCTGTAATAGCGACCTAGAGTTCTGAGCCTAGCCTGCACTAGCCGCCTCCGCCGCCAGAGGGCGCTGCGGCAAGTCGCGCGCGCACCCTTGCCGTTGCGCATGCGTCCACGCTGCAGCGGTCGGGAGAGGTGCCCGGCTTCTCGCCCCACCCGGTCGGCCCACGTGACCCGGAAGCGCTCTCCCGCCGGCGCACGACCGGCGTCTAGGTTGCTCCGTGACTACCGCGCGCCCGCGCTCGCTCCCGGCTCCGGTGCCGCGCTGTGCGGCCGCGCGCTTGGTCGGCGGCCATGTGTTCGCTGGAGGCGGGGAACGGTGGGTCCCTGGCGTGGGCGGCGGGGCGTGGGCGGCGGGGCAAGGGCGGGCGGGCGGGCTCGGGTCCCGGTGCTGACAGTGTGCCCCGCAGGCCAAGGCGCCGAGCTGGGGCCGGAGCCCCCGGAGCTGTCGGACAGCGGAGACGACGCCGGCTGGGAGGACGAGGACGCTGAGCCCGCGCACGGCCGGCAGCACACGCCCTGCCTGTTCTGTGACAGGTTCGTGCCCGCGTGGGAAGCGCGCTGTGGAGCTGGCGAGCACGTGGCGGGCCGGAGGCCGTGGTCCACGCGTGGCCGCTGATTGACAGGGGCCGCTCACGTGGCCCGGGGGGCGGAGCGGAAGCCGCTCTGGGTTTGTCTCTGCAGCCTAGTCAACACCCCCCCCCCCCCAACACACACACCACCCCACCCCCGCTTCCCGACCCAGATCCTAAACCGGGTCTGGCATACCATCACTCTGGAAGCTGAGGCAGGAGAATGGCCACGAATCCCAGGCCAACCTGAGCTACCTAGCTAGACCTCCCTCTCAAACCAAAAAACCAGAACTCCACACTTTAGTCTTAAATGGTGAAGACACAGTATGGGTAGTTTTAATCTGTTTTACTTGGTAACAGATTTTCAGAGTGTGTAGTCTGGAAGAGCGCTTCTGTTTCTACCATCCTATGATGATTGAGGGAGAAATTGCTGCCTTTTGTACTTAGGGGAAAGGACGCTACAGAACCACCAACTTGTTCAAGGTCACGAAGCTGCGTTTTGTATTCGCAGAACACACCTTCTTTTCACTTAAAATCCTGCATCTTAGTTTCAAGAAAGTGACTTTGGGTGTGTGGGCATGAAAAGGGGGTGTTTGATCAGTGCTGCTGGGCTCCCAGTATCCGGGGGCGTGGTGCAGACTGGTGACATACTAGTGTTCCTAGGTGGCACCTCACTGGAGAGGAGGAATAACTGCACACTCATATTTATCGAGCATCCGTGGTGCAGTGTGCCCTGTGATAGGTTGTGAGGACGATTCAAATGACCTATCTTGGCAAACACAGGGTGAGAGTTACCTGTGTGCTAGGCGTACAGAAGGGTGCAGAGTCCGTCTGTATATTCTTGTCGTTCCTGCCCTTCCGTGTTGGAGGTTACATACAAAGAGGTGTGATTCTTCACCTTGCAATGCAGGTGCTGTGGGACATCCAAGGTCACTTGAATTCTCTGCCCGCTGGACATCTGTGTGCTGTGGGTGTCTAAAAGCATGTGCTGTGCCGGTTCACGGGGAGGAGAAAGAGAATCAAGTAGGGAACTTTTGTGACTTGAGAGACACAAAATGCATCAGAGAAAGCTGTGTCACCCAGAAGCCTCTGGGAGGTTTTAGGGTGGTCAGCTTTTTGACTTCCCCGCAGACTGTCTCATGAGGCTGTTGCTTGTCTCTTCAGGTTGTTTACATCCGCTGAGGAAACATTTTCACACTGTAAGTTGGAGCATCAATTTAATATTGATAGTATGGTCCATAAACATGGTGAGTATCTCTTAGAATACAGACAGTTTTACTTGGGAAGTTTAGGCTCAAATTTTACCATTTTCCAGACCCTTCATATTCTTTGTGTGTGCTTCCCCAAAGTGGATGTCAGGTGACTTCCTGAGTTGTGCTCCACTTCCTGGATTGAGGCAGGGTCTCTCACTTGAACCCTGAGCGTGGCTGGTCTGGCTAGCCAGCTTGTTTGAATGATCCCTGGTCTCTGCCTCCCAAGCACTGACATTATAAGAGGCCACCACTCTGCCTGGTGTTTTGTGTGGTGCTGGGAATTCGAACTCACGTCCTCTTGCTTGTCATGTAAGTGGGCTTACCCATTTAGCTACACAAGTCTCACAGCCTGAGTTTTCTCCCTAGAACTCACACAAAGGTGGAGGAAGACAGCCAGTACACCTGTTACCCCCTCCCTGACACGCATACCATACCCCCACATCATACATTATAATAATAAACAAAAAATGCAAGGAAAGCACTTTAAAACTTGGTAAATATGGCTGTTCCTCAGATAAGATATTTACAAGTATCAAAATTATAATTTCTAATTCTTAATACAAAATTCCAAATACAAGTGATATTTTAGAGGTCAGAAATATCTCATTGGAGGAGCATTTAGTATCAGTTAGAACAAACACATTGTATTAAAATCAGTGAATTGTTTTTTCTTCTCCTGTTTAGGACTTGAATTTTATGGATACATTAAACTAATAAATTTTATTAGACTTAAGGTAAGTTGGAAATGTAATACTTTTAGGAATTTATGAAGTTCACAGAGGCTGCCATGCCCCTGGGCTGATTATTAATGGACGATGAGCGGTTGTTTCAGATTTGGCGTTTTTCATATTGTGAGAATTGTGGACATGAGGGGAGAGTGCGGGGTGAAGCTCCAGGTGGGGGTGACCCCTGCTTACTGCTGTCATGTTCAACTGTATTGAGTCAGTACTGTGCAAAAAGCAGTTGTCAGGTAAAAGGAAAACTCGGTTTTTCTGTAAAATCAAGTAATTTCTAGTCTGATTCCAGGTACTTTGGATGTCCTTTTTTGTTTTATTTTTTCACAGCTTATTCTCTTTTTTAAAATTTCTATTTTATTTTATGTGTATGAATGTTTTGCCTGCATTCCTGGTGCCTGCAGAAGCCAGAAGAGAAGGACGTTGGATTCTTCGGAACTTGGGTTACAGACGGCTGTGAGCCACCGTGTGGGTGCTGGGATTTGAATCCAGCTCCTTTGCAAGAACAGCCACTGCTTTTAACCTCTGAGCCATCTCTCCATCCTACATTGTTTAATTTTCTTTCAAATATTTTGTTCTTTGACCTATTTAAATGAATGTTTGAGCTGGGGTCACTTTGCCTGCATCAGACAATATAAGAATACGCTCCAGCCATTTACAGTGACTGCTAAACACAGATGTACCAGTCTTGTGCAGAATTGAGTTTTTTTTTTTTTGCTTCAGTTCCCCACTCTTTTTTAGGGAGCTTTGTCATTACATGCAATGAATACAGTGTGCTTTCACTTCATACCCAGAATCCTACGGTCGAATACATGAATTCCATATACAACCCTGTGCCTTGGGAGAAAGATGAGTACCTGAAGCCAGTATTGGAAGATGACCTTTTGCTTCAGTTTGGTAAGGTGAACCTTCTTTATCTACTTTAGCCAGCCTCAGGCCATTTGTTACACCAGATGAAAGCAAAGTGCTTTGTGAAAATGGACCTTAATTGTCACCCCCATCCCTGCCACCACCGCCCCCCAAGTGATTTTTTTCTCCTTTCCATTGTTTTACCTGGTCGATTAAGCTGGATAATTCTTAAAGTAACCAGTTTGGAAGTTTTAAGTTAGCTGCTGTTCAGGGAGGCATATACTGTGCCAGCCTGCTCTCTCTCTTCCTGGCCTGCACTTCCTGGTTCTGTTCAGTGTATCCACACTGTGTATGCCACTCACTCTTTAGTTGTAGATACAGGATTGACTATTGCAGTACCACAGTGCTCATGTTCAAGGAATCCTTTCAGGAGACTATATTCATACACTTTCTACTTGTTGTATGTGTTATTAATTGTTAATTTATTTCTGTGTCTTATTTATTGACTAAACTTTATGGTGGATATGCAGTATGATAAGGAAAACATGGTTCATAGAAGGTTCAGTTCTAGGCATCCACTGTAGATCCACCCTCCATGGATAATGGCTTCATTTCAAAGGACCTCAGCAGGCTGTCAGTTTTCACAGGTCTGGGGATGTAGCTGAGCCAAGGAGTGCTTGTCTGTCATATCCTGGGTTTGACGGCAAAGCACTCCCAGCCTCAACAAGACTGCATTCTTCCTCCCGATCATTGTGTTACTGATTTACTCTCTCCTTCCACATAGACACACACAGAAGTTTTTATTGCAGCATTGTAGCTTATTTCAGAATATGGAAAGAAACTAAATGCCCCCTCAAAAGAGAGTGGCCGAGAAAATTGTGGGCAGCCACACTTGGAGCAATATATCCTTAAAGAGAACAGGCATCCCTATGAACTTTATAGAGTTCTGCACTCCACAGAGCTCAGTGCTTCATGCAGTAGGGCCACGCCTTCCAGGGCCGCCACTGTTTACTGCTTCTCTTTCCCTCCAGTTTATAAGATTAGCATCACTGAACGGTGCTGCATATTAATGTTAAATTATGGCTTTTTTTATTGTAGCCGAAGTAAAACCAAGTTTGCCAAACAACTTGAATTTGGAAATAGAATACAAAGTAAGGATTTGTATTAGTTTTGTAGTTGATGATCAAGAGATGCAATTGGAGGAGGAAGGGCTTATTCTGGCTGACCATTAAGAGGACCATTCCACACTGCAGGGAAGGCATTGTGAAAGCAGCTGGTCACGTTGGGTCTACATCAGAAAGTCTAGAGTGGATAGGATGTGGGGTTTAGGTTGGGGTTGGAGAGATGGCACAGGAGTTAAGATCATATACTGCCCCTTTGGTTCCCAGCATCCACATGGCAGGTTACAACCTAGTATAACTTCAGTTCCAAGGGATATGACACCCTCTTCTGGAGGCTTCTGTGAGCACCTGCATGTGTATATGCATACAGACTAGCAGGTAAACATACACATAAATACAAATAAATAAAACTTAAAAGCTTACTGTCCTCTCCCAGTAACCCACTTCCTGTAGTGAGTTCTACCTCCTAAAGGTTCTACAACTTTCTGAACATGACTACCTGGGGACTGAGTGTTCCAAACACATGAGATGACTGTTCTCTGAATTGAGGTCAGTGATGCGGCATTGTGTGTGTAGGGGGGCGAGGGTTCAGCTTGGGCTCTAGACTCCTGGAGCAGCAGTGTGTCCTGGTTAGCTTAGCTGCTGGGTCCCAACACTGAAGAAATGTCTTCATAAGTATCACAGCAGAACCCCGAGTCGGGTGGAGTACTGTCCTCAGTCCTGCATGGAGGACAGTGTCAGCAGTGTTTGTTGGTATAGGTAGACCTAAAAGTTAGTGAAGTCTCCTGCTGGTTCTGGGGTTCTTAAGACTCACTGGCTCCATCTCTACAGGGTTATTTCTACACTAGATGTTAATGATGGAATTAAGAGTAAATCAGGATTTTGTTTGTTTGTTTTGCTTTGGTTTTTCAAGACAAGGTTTCTTTGTGTAGCCCTGGCTCTCCTGGAACTCACTCTGTAGAACAGGCTGGCCTCGAACTCACTGAGATCCACCTGCCTCTGCCTCCAGAGTGCTGGGATTAAAGGCAGCACCACCACTTCCAGACAAGATTTTTTTTTTTGCCTAAGATTTTGGTTGCTTCATAATATCAGTAATAAAATATTAGTGTCTTGCCTGGGATGGGAAGGATTTGGATATATAGCATTCCTTATCTGTACTCCATCCTTAAAGAATGACCTAGCTTCCTCATTTGATGAAGGTGTGATTGAGTGTCACCTTCAGGGATGCACAGTTGTGATCCTGTGAACATAGACGTTATGAAATGGCTGTTGCAGTCAAGCAAATTAGCATCCAGCATTGTACCCACCATTTTTATGTATAATGGGAACACTTAAGCTGTGCTGTGTTGGCACATTTCACAGGTACACCAAGGCTTCAGCTGTAGTCACATGGGTGAGATGTCCTGAATGTATTCATCTGAAGTGAAATCTTACAGTCCTAGCACATGGTGACTCAACTCTCTCCTCTGCCTCAGTAGGCTGTGTTTTAAATGCACTTCTGAGTGAGATTTTGTGTTTGCCCTTTGGTATTGGCATGTTTTCCTTCACACACTGCCCTCCAGGCTAATTCTTGTTGCACCCAGCAGGATTACCTGTGTCTGCATGTGCTATCTGCCGTACTGAGGCTAAGGACACAGGCTGAGAGGTGGCTTTGTTAGGGTCAAGAACCTGGGCTGGTAAGGCAGGTGTTGAGTTTTCTCTTCTCCAATGAATAACTGTATGACCTTTGAGTGGTCACTAAGCTTTTTAGAAATTTATTTTCTCTGTGTCTGAAGTAGGAATAACTGTTTGCATTTCAGATTGAGAGTGAGATGTGACGTAATGTGTGCACACTTGAAAGCTTACTGGTGAACACTGGAGTCTCCCGCCTGTGTTTGGTTCAGTGTATCCATGCATACACATGTTCAGTTTAGCTAGCTAATGAAAAGCAGACTATCATACTCCATGAGGTCAAATCAGAGAGCTTGGATGACAAGGATGTGAAAACTGCTTTTAATCATTTTTCTCACTTGACCATGGTAGGCACTTAGGCCTGTTTGTCCCCACTGTGCTGCTGTGAGGTGGCCTGATAATGATGTCCGTTTACCTTTTAGATGTAGAAGATCTTTATGAGCCAGTGTCGACTCCCTTCTCATACCCCAATGGACTCAGTGAAAGTACATCCATTGTGGAGAAATTGAAGCACATGGAGGCGCGGGCGCTGTCTGCTGAGGCTGCATTGGCTCGGGCGCGCGAGGATCTGCAGAAGATGAAGTAACTCCCAGTCCAACCAAATGCTGCTTTAGATGTAGGGTAGTTACCTGCAAGAATACTTGGGATGCTAGACACTCAATGCATATACTTACTTTAGGAGCATTAAAGACACGCAGCGTTTCATGGCGTGTGAATATAGATCACTGTAGCATTGCATTTTTATGTACTTGTACATACCTCATAATTACTTTGCATGTGTGACTGTTCTAATTTCCTCTTGAATATGTTTTTAATATTTCCTGCCTTTCAAGTCTTTTGTTTGTTTGTTTCTAGTTGGTTTCACCTCTTTGATTATCATATCCTAGTTTTTCAGAAATGGAAGAATTATTATTATTATTATTATTATTATATTTAGGTATTGGGAAAATACAGTGTTGAAATGTTGTTTTTAAAAAACCAAAATGTGACAGTAGTATAGAATTTAACCAAAGAACCAGATAGACGGGGCAGTTTTTCCTCGCCGAGTTGGCATTCTCCAGGAGTCCTGCATCTCTTGGGGGGTCTTGTTAGTCTAGAGGTGGGCACAGGCCTTCATGTGTGCATCCATAGCTTGTCCACCTCCCAGCTTCTCCCTTCTGGATCTGTAAGCTGGTCACTAGTACTTGAGTTCCTATTTGATGACTGGCCAGAATGTCTGGGGCAGGGAGAGCAGAGTCCCTTCAGGTTCCTAGTCCTTGTTTGTGACTGTCATGCTTGGGGACGTAGTCAGCGTCACCAGCTCAACCTTCTGCCCTTTTGTCCTCCTCACTCTTGTGTAGTTTGTAGCTCACTAAGATGTCACCACCTGAATGAGCTCAGTGTATTGACAGGTTACTCAGATATTGCTTCAGAGCCAGCAGGGGGCGCTGTTGGGGCTTCAGCTAGTAAAGGATTTAAGATGCTGGGCACACTGTCCCACTCCCCCTCCTCCCCCTCCAGCCTTGCCTTTTCTCATGGTCCAGTAAACCTGTCTCAGGGGTATATTTCAAATTGATTACAGACAATTTGCTCAAGACTTTGTGATGAACGTAGATGTCAGAACCTGCTCCTCCACGACTGCCGTTGCAGACCTGCAGGAGGATGAGGATGGTGTCTACTTCAGCTCCTACGGGCATTATGGGATACATGAAGAAATGCTAAAGGTTGGACAGAGTTCATGTGCGTCAGATCCTCCAAGGGAGAACCATATAGAACAGGCCTTAATACCCGAGTGAGTGAGAGAGTGTGTGTGTGTGTATGTGTGTGTGTGTGTGTGTGTGTGTGTGTGTGTGTGTGTGCGCGCGCCTCTGGTGCTTAGATAACTGCTCCTCAGATGAAAAGATTACAGAGGTGTAAAGTCCCAGTGAGTCCTATTTAAGTTAATATTCATCTTTTCTTTATGAAGCCCCTTTTTGCTTGAAATTGAACATTGGAAAAAAAAAACCTGCTTGGTGGTTCTGGTCTTCCCAGGAATATCTACTGTGGGAAGTAGGAATTAAATGACGTTTGGTTTTTAACATGGAAAAGAAACAATTTTAGTTTTTAAAATAGCAATGCTGACTTGGTTTGGGCAAGTAATTATCTTAAATTTATAATAGTTCTCACAGTATTCATGGTGTGACTGACTTATAACTCACAAAATCATTGATAATATAGAAATGTTTCCTTATGTGGTCAGACCTGGTATTTGAATCTCTTCAGTTTTAGTAGTCATAGTGGTAATGTCCATATAAGATAGAAGTAGTTTCTAACTTTATATACTGACAGTACATTTTATCCAATATTGTAGATTACAATAGTAAGTTTTAACTCAGCAAAACTGAATCTACCTGACTAGCATAAAATGGAACAAATTTTGGATTGTAAAATTTTTAGATCTCTAGGAATTTTAGATGTTACATTCTCTTTTCCTAAAATCAGTCAATAAAAAATCCTTCCTACAGCCTCCCTCCAGATTATTCTATTTAAAGTTGACCCAAGGACTTTAAAGCGGTGTCATGCAATTACTAATGCCGTATATCAGTTGATGTCACCTGGGTAATGATGGCATAGCATTGCATACAGTAGATATCTTACAAATGAGTGAATTTATGTAAAGTAAATTGGCATGCTGTTATTTTTATCTAAGTTGTTCTGTTACCAGTAAAGACTCAAGAGTCAGACATTGGGGTTAAAAACCTGATAGATCAAAGAAGTGGAGGAGGAGGAGGAGGAGGAGGAGCAGGAGGAGCAGTAGCAGCAGCAGCAGCGACCAGCTGACCTTTTTTTTCCCCAGAGACCCAGCAAGTGCACCTCTCTCCTCTCTCCAGACCAAAAAGGACTGTGCATCTCTAAGTCTCTCCCTACTCCTTCTTGTGTCTTTTCTGTCCATCTCCTTGGGTCCTCTGTATTCTCTATGACTAATTCTTGTCAACTAGTTGCTGGCTCTGACCCAATCCAAGGTTAATTTTATTAACACAGTCTTAAAGTTGCACAGTGTGGTCAGATATCCCAAAACAGCATGCTTCATATTCGGGGTAGACTATTTTCTGTAAAGGTGATAAGCTGTCATCTAAGCGCAATTGGTTGTTTTAGATCTGTCCACTTAGTGCTTCATGCCCTTTGTGTCTTTGGTGTGGAACTTGTGTCGCCTTTTCCAGACAGGTCATGGTCACTGCAAGTCCTGTGGATGGAAGTGTTTCCACTGCAGTGATCAGAGAAGGCTGCTTTGCATAAGACAGAGCTCTGCCTAGGACTCATGCGCCTGCGTGTCAGCAATTAGAGACTGTGACATGTGACTAGTGTCAGACTCCTGGATGCACACGGAGACTCCAGCTGGAAGGCTCTTTACTTTTAGAGAACCACTTAGGTGCTGTCTCTGCCTCAGTTTAACTTCCTGTGGTACAGAATTACTCTTGGAGATGTTGATGGGTTTGATATTGGCTAAGTTAAGGAGTAGCATGCCCTGGACCAGGTTGTATTTCCTGATTTTCACCAGAACAGCTCTCAACACAATTGAACTGTTCCATGGTGTCTTGCTACGGAAAACCTCCCTAATTCTGACAAGTCATTTCAGAGTGGAAGCACTTAGTGTAAGGCATTTAAAGACTGACTGGCGGGTTTTCTTGTTTGGTCGCAGACATTTTATCGTAATTGCAATCTCATTTCTAGGCTTTGGATGGAGTAGTTGTTCAAAGTTTAAAGACAGAGTTGACAGAGGTGTGGGTTAAATGAACTTTAGATAGCCCTTGCTACTTTGGGCCTTTGAAGAAGGGCTGTTGACTGTAATGCAGATCTCAGCTGCACCCCAGTCTGCCTGTGTTTGCTGTGGCAGTAGCTGTCTGGGTATGCAGGTGTTCTGTCACATGCTGTTGAGATAGTGAAGTGTGGGTGCTTATTATGTTGTCTCCTCGCACCTGCAGCTGACTTGGGCTTTGTGTTCCCTTCCTATGCCAGGGCACCTTGATGGGTTGTGTGTGGATGTAAAATTGTCTCCGTGGCTTCTCTGCCTGAGGCTCAGCTGCAGTGGTTTGTTTAGAGGGATGGAGCTGAGCTCCGGTCACCTCCACACAGCCTCCTGTGTATCAGAGCTCTGATTTTGTCCTTTGCATCTGGTTGATGAGAAAGACGCCTTCCAAGTTTTATTCTGTACTCTTGTTAGTCTTTTGTTAGAGTAAGTCTTCAGAACTTTTGTTCTATTTTGAGGATTTTCTTTGTTGTTTTGTTTGTTTGAGACAGGGTCTCCTGTAGCTTAGGCTGGCCTGAGACTCTGTAGCCAAGGATGACCTTGAACTCTTGACCTTTCAGCCCCCACTGCCACATGCTGCAGGGTCACAGGCCTACACTGCCATCCTGGTTTGGAAGCAGTTTTTAAGGGGAGTTCTTTAGTAGCTTTCTTATTCAGGATTGTGGGCTTTTTTTTTTAGCAAAACATCAGTTATTGAGCCGAGGCTGTGTGTGATGAGCTTAGGAACAGGGCAGATGATGGGAGAGACCACTGGAGGAACATAGCCAGGTAGCAGTGCGGTTAGGACAGCAGCTGGGATGCTGTGGATTTAGTTGGAGTGTGGAGAGGCAGGGTGATGGGCAAGAGCCTTGCAAGCTGCTGCCCCTGTGACTGATGCACACTTTGAGTTAGTTCTGTTGTGTCAGCAGAAAATGTACAAACGGTGTGCATTTAAAGGGGCATTTTATTTTTATGTTTTCTTTATTCTTGAAAAAAGCATAATCCTACCCACCCTTTCCCCCCCTCCCCAATTTGCCCCACACCCAGCACTAATTGGACCAAGTGGACTGTCCCTCTTCCCCCCAACAAAAAGAGAAAATTAATTTTGAAATAGGTCTGTTCGAGGGATTTTGGAGGAATTGTCTTTGTGATGTAAATTTCCTGTTTATTTTGTGGGGAAATGAGAAGACAGGTCACTGTGGTGTATATTATTTAGGGAAAGATAACAAGGTCGAGTGGGCTCAGGACAGATTTGGTTATTTGTCTGAATCCTTAAAAGTGACGCACACAGGTAACAGAGGGTCGACTATTTTTATTTATTTACTTTATTTATTTGAGACAAGGCTTTTCTGTGTAGCCCTGGCTGTCATGGAACTTGCTCTATAGACCAGGCTGGCCTCAAACTCACAGAGATCCACCTGTCTCTGCTTCCTGAGTGCTGAGATTAAGGTGTGCACCACTACTGCCCAACAGACTATTTTTATTTTTTATGTGAAACCCAAAGCTAGAATTTCTCACTTGGTGACACCTGTCTTTACCATACTCATTTTTCCTTGCTGGCTGTAGAGCTCTTCCTCTCCTCATCTGCAGGCTGTGTGTGTGTGTCTGACTTGGGGATGCAGCTAGGTCACCAGCCAGCAGGAATGTGAGGATGCTGCAGGCCTGCATGGTAACAGCTTATGAGGAACTCCTGAGCATGGAGTCTGGTAATGGATACTGCAGGCTTCACATGAGTTCCTTCTAGGCCTACAGGCTTTGAAGCATCATTTCCTACTGTAGACATTTCTAGAAACAAAGTAGTACTATAAATCAGATGCTGATGTGGCTTTCTTAGAAAAACTTCATCAGTGTGAATTCATGATCCCTGTACCTCACCTTTTCATGTATCTATTTTATTTTTTCTGTTCCTAATTTTCACGTAGCTTCAGTGCCGGGAGCCAGGCTCAGCTTAAAGGGTGCCTTCTCTTACTATTTATCACCACTTGAGTCTGACAGTGACCATGTATGGAAAGAGAAAGACATGCACATTTCAAACTAATGGCTAGATCTAACTTTCACTGATACTTTTCATATAAAAATTTTTAAGTGTTGCTATTTTTCTTCTTTATTGTTTTCTTTTAGAAAGAAAAAAAATTAAATAGCTCAGTTTTCCAGGCCGAACATAGCTGTGGAAGCTAGCAGTGTGTAATACAGTAGCCATAATTTCATAGAAGAATTCATTTGCTCAGACTGTCCCTGTAAACACAGTGCTTTGCTCTCTACTCTAGGACAAAGTTCGCACAGAAAGCTACAGAGATTTCATATACCGAAACCCACACATCTTCAAAGATAAGGTGAGTGAGTGTCTTGAACCGTCCGTCCTGGATGATTGACTCAGGCTTTGCTTCCCAGGGGCCTTTGATGCACTGCTGTGTGGTGCTGTAGTCTGATGTTCAGGGGGTCTTTTGTAAAGCTGAAAGTCGTTCATTACAAAAATAGAACCTAGTCAAACTTCGCCTATCCAATAGTCTATAGATTATAGTTTTTGATTTATGGTGATTGTGTGCTTGGAATGTATCAGATAAACCCCATGGCAAAGCACACTTTTAATTATTATTCTATTGTGTTGTATGGTTAAAAATTCATAATGTTGACTAGAGTGAAATATAAGAGCTAGAATTTTTTTTCTGTAAGGTTTAGTCCTTTGTGAGTTAAATGCTTTATGGGACATCTTGTAATCAGTTTTAATACTGTCTAACTTATTTCAAGACGTTAGTACATTTTACTTATTTATTCTTCTCTCTCTCTTCTTTACATGTATGTATTGTGTATGGTGGAGTGGGCATATACGTACCACAGAGTGCTTGTGGCAGACAGGATGGTTCTGTGCTTCTACCATACAGGTTCTAGGTTGTCAGACTTGGCAGCAAGTGCCCTTATCTACTGAGCCATCTCGCCAGTCCTGGTGTGTGTGTGTGTGTGTGTGTGTGTGTGTGTGTGTGTGTGTGTGTGTGTGTGTATGAGTGTATGAGCACAGATGGAGTTCAGGGACAACTTGCCAGAGTCCATTCTCCTTTCTTTGTAGCTTTGGAGCCTGTCCTGGACTAGCTCTGTAGACCAGGCTGGCCTCGAACTCACAGAGATCCACCTGCCTCTGTCTCCCAAGTGCTGGGATTAAAGCACTCCGCCTGGCTCTCCTTTCTCTATGTGGTTCCCAGGGATCAGACCCAAGCTTACCTGATGAGCCATCTTGACAGCCATGTTGTTTATAAAATGATGATCATATACTTTATGTGTGTGTCTCTCTCTCTGTGTCTTGGTGTGCATTTGTCTCTTTTTCTGTGTGTGTGTGTGTGTGTGTGTGTGTGTGTGTGTGTGTGTATGTGCACGTGTGAGCTTGTACACATCTGTGTGTGTCTCTGTGTATGTACATGTGTATATATGTATGTATGTGTGCTTATGTACATATCTGTGTGTGTGTGTATATGTGTATGTATGTATGTGCACGTGTGAGCTTGTACACATCTGTGTGTGTCTCTGTGTATGTACATGTGTATATATGTATGTATGTGTGCTTATGTACATGTCTGTGTGTGTGTGTGTGTGTGTGTGTGTGTAGTAATCCTTCCTCACAAATTCTTACATTTTCTTCTCTCCACTCTGTCCTTTCCTTCCCTTTCTACATTGGCATGTTGCCTAAAGCATCATGTTTCTGTTTGTCTTTGTTAGAAGTCACCCCAATTTGGTCAGGAGTTACCAGTTCTGCCATCAGAATATCTTTCCTGGAGTTTCCCTCCATGGTTCTTCTTTCAGAGGTGTTTTTAGTTCTTCAAGCTCCTGTAGATTATTTCCTGGGCTTTTGTCTTGGAGGAGCAGAGAGTGGAGACCTTCGTTGGGAGAGCCGCTTCTGTTCACACACTGGGGCATGTCTGGAATGGCTTTCTATATTTTCTATTTCTATTTTTCCTTTTTTTTTCTGTGTACATGTATATACCTTCTTGTCTGTATGTGTGCCATGTGCATGCAGGTGCCTGTAGATGGGATCAGCCCATGAACATGTCACTTTATAGTTCTAGTTTGGTTATTTGCAGGTTGTTATTTATTTTTACTTTTTTCTTAACCTAGTAAGCTGTGTAGAAATGAAGTGGTCCTTGTCTGGCCAGGCAGGAGCCAGCTGTATGATCCGGGCACGTGGGGAATTGCCGTGTGCCTCACCTGCAGACTGAGTTTTCAGGTCCTTCCTCATTGATGATTGCTGTTGTCAGAGCACCCTCCTGTCTTTGAGGCGTCTTCTCATTGCTTTGTGTTGTGAGTGCTGTAGGAATTGAAGCGGTGATTTAGAAGTTGTTCTCTCATGCACTCTGGAGTAGAAGGGATCAAATACTAGTTATCAGAGGATTTAGTTTTTTGAAATAAGTTATTTGTTACTAGGAAGAGTTCTTACTAAGTTCATGAACCTGCACACAGTGACTTTTGCTCATAGTTTCTTTGTTGCAATGGTGTGTGTGTGTGTGTGTGTGTGTGTGATTGTGTGTGTATGTATGAGTGTGCATGTTTGTGTGTGTGTATGTATGTTTGTGTGTGTGTATTTGTGTGTGTGTATGTTTGTGGGTGTGTGTGTCTGTGCGTGTATGTATGTTTGTGTGTGTGTATTTGTGTGTGTATGTTTGTGGGTGTGTGTGTCTGTGCAGGGGATATGGATCAGTGCTAAAGAACTCGCCGCACAAGCGAGTTCACATTCCCAGCATCCGTGTAGTTACCAAGTGCTGAGATCTAGGTGCATTGGAGGCACAGATGGGTTTCCTGCAGCAAGCTGGCTAGTTAGAAAAGCTGAGTCATTGGCTCTGGGCTCAAGTGGTGGAGAGTGGTAGAATAAGGCACCTCAAGTCAGTCTCTGGCCTCTATGTACAAACATACATACATGTAAATGTACATCTGGACACACATGTGCATGCACATATGCACACACACAGAGAACAACAATCAAACAAACAAACAAAACATGGTACTTTTGCCTCATCAACAAACCATGGCAAACTGTGGAGTCGGTTTATGATATTCCACTTCTCTTATTGAGAGAGCCTGTCCAAGGAAGGAAATGGCAAGCTAGTGTGAGCACCTCCTTGCTGCTTTGCCCAAGGTCTTAGCCATTAATGTTATCAGTGTGATGAATTTTGCTTGGCATTTGTGGTTTCTCAAAAGTCACTGTAACGTGAACTATTTTAGCTTCTTAAGGCACATTAAGGACACACGTTTTTGTGATTAGGGACATTAAATAGCCTACAGCTTTTATCTCCTCTTGCACTGTGGCTGTGGCTATGCCTGTAGAGGATGCAGTACCATGTATTTAAGTGCATCTGATAATGTATAGGTCATTGTGTAACACCATGGAACTAGATGTCATTTGTCTGCTTTACCTGTGGTTTGTCTTAAGTTTACTTTCAAACAGGGAGGTTAATTGATGTCTTCAAACAACAGAACTGAAAAAAAAAAAAGCAAACCCTAGGCTTTGTGTTCTAGTGTAGTGCTTACAAGCCTTGTTCTTTGCATTGAGAAGCAGTGTGTCAGTGTAAAAGAGATGGTAGTTAGGGTGGGACTTGTTAGTTACATTGTGGCTATTAACTCACATACGTATGTGGTTGTTGCTGTGTGGCATGGTCATGTAAGTTTTTATATGTCATTGTTTTAAAAGTCCACGAAGTTCATTTTTTCCTGCATTTTATTACTATTTTCCCCTTTTATGTATTTATATGTCATTGTTTTAAAAGTCCATGAAGTTCATTTTTTCCTGCATTTTATTACTATGTTTCCCCTGCATTTTATTACTGTGTTTCCCCTTTAAATAAACTTCATGTTACAACATGGGCTTCTATATCATACTGTACAGTGCATAGTAGAGATGTGTTTCTCAAAGTATTGTTATGGGACGGGGATGGCTGAATGGTTATACGTGCAAGCATGAGGACCCAGTGAGCTTGAATCTCCATAGCCCACATAAAGCTAGATGCAGTTGCAGGTCTGTAACCCAAGAGCCCCTTGGGCAAAGGGAGGCAGTGCCAGGAGACTCCCAGGAGCTCTGGACAGCTTGCCTGGGGCACACAGCAGGAGATAACAGAGATGATGTTCCCAACTAGCAGAAGGCAAGGATGGCACCTGAGGTTGTCCTCTGACCTCCACAGCCTCCTGTGGCACCACATCTTCACAAACACACAGGGCACGGTTGTTGTGTTTTTAAGGTGGCTGTAATTAAAAATGGTCTTTTTCTTCTTTTCCGTTCCCTCCCTATCTTCTCTCCTTTCTTAATATTGTTTCAATTCTCAAAACTCCTGTGGAGACCATATGGTAGCTCAATTAATTTAACTTTGGGTGACATTTAATCATCCTCTCCCATGCTCATAATTAATTTGTTTGGAGTCCATTGAAGAAATTCCCAGTCAGGTGCCTTTTTATGCTGCTGGCTTCTGTCTTCAGTTAAGGTTTGTTAATTCGCTTTATTTATTTTGGAAAAAAGGAAATCAACTTCCTTTATCATTTTATATAGTAGCACCAACTTATTTTGTTATTTTTACTACTTTTTCTGAGTCTGTCAAGTTTTGCCTGTCTGATCACTCAGTTATCAGCTAGATGTAATTAACTACTAAAGTTCAATGGAGAGTATAATTAGACCCTGGAAGCAACTTGACCTGTATTAGAAGCCAGTCACATGATTCACCAGCTGTGGGGTCCTGGACCTGCTTCTTCCTCTTTGGAATTTACTTTGATCGTTTGAAAAATGAGGATTAAATAAGAAAGCGTGTGTGTGTGTGTGTGTGTGTGTGTGTGTGTGTGTGTGTGTGTGTGTGTGTGTGTGTGATTTGTGTGGTATGTCCCTGTTAGCACAGGCCCCAAGGCTAGTAGAGGGCATTAAGTATCTTCCTGTATCATGTCCCCCTCACCCCAGTCCCCTGAGTCACATTCCCTGGGGCTCCCATTTTATTGGCAAGGATGGAAGCCAGCAAGCCCCAGAAATCCTCCAGTCTTTTCCCCACTCAGAGATGTGGTTGCAGGCATGCCTGCAATACTGGGCTTGTTGGATGGGTGCTGGGATCTGAACTCCAGTCCTCATGATTGCCTAGCAAGCACTCTTAACCACTGAACTCTCTCTCCAGCCTGAAAACACATTCTTAATTGAACTATGCTTGTATATCCTAAATCTTTTTGTGCAGTTATTCTTTATAGAAATTATCCCTTATTAATATTTCTTCTCCCATTTTCCAGTGTGATTAAATAATAGACCAATTTTTCCTCTTAGTCATTTTAAGTGTACAATTGAGTGGTATTTGGTACAGTCCAAATGCTGTGGCCCATCACACCATCCATCTCTAGAGCTGTGTTCATCTTACAAAGCTGAAACTCTACATTGGTGACTCCCCACTTCCCCTCCCCTCGGCTCCTGTACATCATTATTTTTCTTACTTACTGCTGTGACTATTCTAAGCGTCTTACGTAAGTAGAATCATGTGCTCTCTGTCTCACATAACAGTGGCTCCAAAGACTTCATATTGGAGCATATCTCAGAATTCCCTTCCTTTTTAAGGCTGGGTAAACTGATGATACTTAAATATGCCCTGGTATCCATCCATCAGTCTGTGGGTGGTCAGTTTACTTCCATACTGCACTCTGTTGTGGATATTGTTGCTGTTAACATGGATGTTGAGATGCCCTCTGAGAGCCTACCCTCTTTGTTTGGAGATGTGCCCAGAAGTAGAATTGTCTTGAAGGCTGCCACATAGTTTTTTAAAGTGGGTTTTCTCTCTTCCATTCCCAGCCATGCACAAGGCTTCTGAGTCCTTGCTAACTTTAGTTTGTTTTCTGTCTTGTAGCTAACGTGTCTGAGAAGTTCTTATAATTCAGATGTGCATTTCCCGAATGACTAGCAGTGTGGACTATCTTTCCCTGATACATTATAATTGTTTATATATCCAATGTCCTTAGACACCTTTACCAGTGCAGCATATGATCAAGCTTCTCAGGCCCTTTCCAACCTTTTATTTGTAATTCTACAAATTGTATTTTAATGAGCATTTTGGGAGATGCTGTGGATTCTGTACTCACCACAAAAATGAACTTTTTGGGGAGCTTTTGCCACACTGTCATGCTGCATGTAGCCACAATGTACATTTGTACTATGTGTTCTGCTTTCTCTCTGTTTTGGTGTATTTTATTTGGAACTTGACAGAATTATTTTGTTTTCAATGATAATAAAAATTCTTAGAGATTGATGATGTTGCCTCATGGGAGGAAGAGGTCCAGAGGGTCATTGGGCTCTCACTGAGATTCCAGCCTCCCCTTCCTGCATCGTCTTGCCATGGTCTGGGGAGGTGCTAGAGTATGTAGAGGGAAGAAGATTAGCTGAAGGGGGACTCCATCTGTGCAGCTGTGGGGAAATTGTAAGTAAGTCCCATGAACTGTCTTTCCAAGTTGGACTTCTGAGCCATGGTTTGTCTTGGTACCCTCACGAAGGGGTTAGATATCATTTCTGTCCCTCAGAGAAAGTGTTCCACAGCAGCTGAGTCACATTATAAATAATCTCTTAACTTCTAAAGAATCACTTGTTTTATTTCTGTTGCAAGAAATTCAACCCTGTGCTGGGTGTGTGCACAGTCTCCCACTGAACTACATCCCCATTCCTCAGAACTCTGATGTAAGGTTACATTGGAAAGAAGAAAGTTAGCAACTCAGTAGAAAGAATGAGAAACAATATTCTTATATAGTTCACATATAAATACAGAGGATACTATTTGTGCTTGTCCTATTGGTACACGTCCTGGGTGTTTGTTCCAGTCTTACCTCATAGTAGACTGGCCCTGTGGATGTCACCTTGGTTATGTGTAGGCAGGGTTTTTTGTCATGACCACCGACTCCCCAAATAACTACACAGAGACTTATTATTAATTATAGTTGCTCAGCCAATAGCTTAGGCTTGTTACTAACCAGCTCTTAAAACTTAACCCATATTTCTTATCTACACTCTACCATTTTTCAGCATGTTCATCTGCTTTCTCTGTGTTTGACTGGTGTCTCCGCCCTCTTTTTCCTTGCGCTCTCTTTTTGTCCATAAGTCCTGCCTAATCTCTACCTGCCTAGCTATTGGCCACTTAGCCTTTTGTGAAATGGATCAGAAGGTGCCTTGGCAAAGACACATTTTCACAGGGTACAAAAAGATTATTCCACAGCAGTTATGTACCTAGATCTTTGCATAACACAGTCCTGTTAAGACTTGGTTCTCTAATCATATGAATAAGAGGTGTTCTCCAACCTATTTAAAACTTAAAAGGAGTGTATTCCTTTCCCCATGCTCTAATATTTTTCCAGTTTGTATTACATCACTGCTTGGCATTATTTTATATTCTTTTATTCATATTGTTCATTTCTCTAAAAGAATTGTATTAAGACAAAGACTTGGGGAGCTAGGCATGGTTGTACACTCCTATAATCCCAGCATTTAGGAGACTGAGACTGAATTGCAAGTTCAAGGTCAGGCTGGGCTACAGTGATATCCAATCTCAAAACTACAAAGATAGGGTTTTGGCTTGTTTGGTGAACTCCTCACCAAGATCAGAACCTAGCGCTTAAAGTAGATGGGCCCTGGAATGGTACTTATTTGGGACAAATTTATAGCATTGTGGCCATGTCACTGACAATGAAAGATCTAAAGCCTGGCAGTTTACTCCAGGTATTTCTTAGGTTAGCATAGAAGGCATTAGATACTACTGTGACATTCTCAAGCAAAGTGTTGGGCAGATTTCCTCCCTACTCATGTCCCTAGCCCTTCCTTCTGGTCACCTCCCTCATGTCCAGTGTGCCCTTTTGCCTTTGTAACTGTTTCTAAATTGTATGGGATCTACTTTAATTCCTTTGCTCAAACTTGAAAAGCTTGTTTCTACCCAAATTTAGAACCACTGAGCCTCAGCTAGACTCTAGCAATTAGCAGGGTAAAGCACCTTTACGTTGGCAATGGAGTTACTCAGTTTGTGCAAAATGTCTTTTAATTTAGCACTGTTGGCCTAATTGTAGAAGACCGTGGCCAACTGCACCATTATTGCTTTAAAATAACCCATAATATGTTGTTTCTGCACATAGAAATTACCATATTTGATCAATAAAGTTAAACTTTTTAATCAAGAGATATTCCTATCCCAAAATACTCTCACATTTTGTGCAGTTGGAAATAGAGGCCGTCCTCAATAGTAGCTATTTTATTTTCCAGGTTGTTCTGGACGTTGGGTGTGGAACTGGAATTCTCTCCATGTTTGCTGCCAAAGCTGGGGCAAAGAAAGTGATTGCAGTTGACCAGTCTGAAATCCTCTACCAGGCTATGGATATCATAAGGTAGGTGTGTATTTAACACTCAATTTATAATTAATTTTGGACTTGAAAATTTACACATTTCCTAATTTTTAGTAAATGTCTAGTAAAAGATAGTCAAGATATTTGTCTTTTTACAGAAATCCACCAGCACAATAAAATCTTAAGTTGTGTTGAGCTGGAGCTACATGCCAAATCATCCTGACAGTTGTTATGGAATTGTTTTTATGCTGTTTTGACCCAGAGGATACTGATTATAATATAAAACCAGGAACTATCATAGGATGATATTAACACAAGATGCCCCAGAGCAAATCTGTCAGTGATACTTTCTTTAGGACTCAGCAGTTATATTAAAGTTATTTATATGATGCACAGTTAAGTAGTCACTGTCACTCTAGGGGTCATCTAGCAGGTATCTCAGTTGCTTGTACAAACAAACATGAGAGACACTATCCCAAGGAAAAGCTATTTTAGAACAATTAACAAAAACTCACTGTTGGTAGTAAGATTATAGGAAGGTACTTTTGCCAGAAGTTCAAATGTGCAAGACCTTACTTTATGCACTAGCTTGATCCTGCAGGACTGGACCACCTGTGTTTTCAATTGAATTTTGTGTTTTATTAAAGTGATGGAAAAGGATAGTTTGTTTCAGTTCCCAAGAGTTTTAGATACATGTTTGTACATGATCATGTTCACATTCATTGTATCTGAACTGTAGAACTCAAGTGTATAGTGTTCAAGTTTACAAACACGTTTAAAACTTTTTTTTTTAGTTTAAAGGAAAATTGGATGTGTTTGGCCTGTGTGTATGTATATATGTGTACCGTGCACATGCCTGGTGCCTGCAGAAGCCAGAACAGGACATTGAAGCCTCTGAAACTGTAGTTCTGGGACAGTTGTGAACCACCATGTGCATGCTGAGAACTGAACCCAGGGCCTCTGGAATAGCAGCCAGTGCTCTTAACCTGCTGAGCCATTGCTCCAGCCCGAATTTATGTGTCCATGTTCAGGTTTCAGTTCCATGATGAGCTCTGTTCTGCAGGAGAGCTTAATTCATAACAGCACAAATCCAGCTGACCTGTTTCAGATGTCGTGGCTCAAGATCAGCTGGATTTGTGTTGTTATGCTGGAGTTGAGGCAGAATACTGCTGTGGGATAATGCTAAAACCTTCTGACTACAGAATACTGTGTTAGAAGGGTGTGGAGGAAAACTCACTTGATGGTATGGGTCAGGGGAAACCCAGGGGGAAAGGTCTCATCTTCAAGGTATGGTTCTTTCTTCTAGCTAGTCCCTGCTCCTTAGTTCATGTCCCTGTGACATCATGAGGTGGACTTACCTACCTGCTGATGAAGGCTGTGCCTTCATTACCCATGCACTTCCCCAAAGCCCCACCGGCTGGTAACACAGCCTTGGCACCACTGCAGGAAGGAAGGTGTCTGTGGTACACAGGGCAGCTGCTTTTTAGTCTCTTTTCCTTTGTGGTCATCTTAACACTTTGTCATGACCTGTCACTCATGGAGGGTGACAGTGACATCTCAAGCAAGCAGTAGATTTTAGAGTATGGTGCCCCTGCACATGCTTCTCTTGCATCTGTGTGGTGGGAGCAGAGAGGTAGGTGGACATCCAGGCCGAGGAAGTAACTTCCTGTCACAGTTTTTAGTGCTGTGGCAGGCACTGCCTCTGGCTGCTTGTTCAATGAATACCTTGTCACTTTAGGTTTTTTGTGTTTTTTTTAAGGATGGATGTTTTCAGAGGCAATAGTTGTATCCTAATACTGATGTTTCTATAGTCTTTATCTCACTGTGCTAGGTGGTCTTGCTTAAGTTACAATGTGGACATTTGCCACAGAGGAAATCAGGCATGTTTTGCTAAAACTTACATTTTAATTTTCTTGAAACTGTTAGATAGCTGTGTAGCCTAATCCACTGTTTCAGCCATACATGATACATGGATCATGATGCCCAGCTGCAGCAGTTCTGACTATGTTCTTGTCTATCACAGCCCATCCTGTTACTTATCCTGTTATTTATTTTTGTGGGAGAATTTTAACATTATCTAATACACCATATCAGTAAGTGGATCATCAATCATGTATTGAATCTTAGTTCAAATTAATTACTAGTAACTTACCAACAGTGCTCAAACTATAGGTTCTCCCACTTACTAATAAACTACTAACATTTCTTTAGTTTGAGTTTAGAGTGAGATACACTTTAGTTATTTAATTTGAGTCAGTGTGTTAAAGTGTAAAAATAGTGTGATCACCTGTTCTGAGGTTGCCTGTGTGAAAAATATACTTAGGATTTCAGAGATGTTAGTATAGCAAATAAAACTAAAACATGGAAGAGAAAGGAATTACTTTCCTGCTATTATGTTTTTAACTGTGCAGAGAGTAATCATTTCAGAAACATAAACTTACACAAGGATAGCAAAGCTATTCAACCGCCAGACAGTTACATACTGCGTTCACTCTCAGATCTCTGCTGGTTGTATTTTGCCATTTCTCTGGTTTCTCCCTGACTCAGCCATGGATGGCTAGCTCATCATTCAGACTTTGACGTAGCTGGAGAGTTTTCATGGGAAAGCTGATCTATCTCATGTTCACAGTGTGGTACTTTCAGCCCCAGTGTGAAATGGAAGGCGCAGTCTTTCATGTTGCCTCTGTCTAGTGTATTAAACAAGATAAGAAAAGCCTGGTGAGGTGTGTAGCTCAGCGGCCGAGCATCTGCCTAGCATATGTGAGGCCTGGGCTTGACCCTAACACCACAGAGTAAAGAGAATAACTGAGGCCTGTTTTGACTTGCTGTCCTGTTTATATAAGTGTCCTCTAGACTTTCATCTTTTCTTCCCTAACACCTGCAAAACAAAATGATGGTGGACACTTAGCAACACTTTGAATAGAACTGACATAGGCTTCCTGAAATGCCAGCTCCTCTGCTTCGGCAGGGACATGAGGGGCTCCAGTGCACCTGTCTGGTGAGTGAGTAGATTAATGAATTTTCAACACCTAGGACATCACAGGTTCAAAGCCAGTTAAGTCGCCCTCCTCGGGTCTGGAGCCTCCTGTCTCCTTGAAGCTGCCAGGAGTTCAAGACCAGGCTCAGTTATATAGTGAGTTCAAGATGGTCTGAGAATTAGCAAGCATAGTCCCTCACATATTGTTGATCATGGTCACCCAAGTATAAGTGTTTCAGCAAAATATACTTTAAAATGAATGCTTTAACGTACAGTAATGCCTTGATGTTAGGGCGAGTCTCTTCAGCACAGGAAAAACTTCCATGTAATTAAAATGCATGTTCTCTAATTGAGAACGTGGTTTAATTAGATAGCAACTTAATCTACAGCTTGCTTCCTGAGATGGTCATTTTAATTCTATCATCTTAAATTGCAGAAAAGGAGAGATTGAAAAATACATGCTCGTCATCAAGCATATAGTAGTATGAGTAACTTTGGGCAAGGTTACAAGAAATTTTCTTTTTCTGCTGGTGGCTTTGTGTTTTGCTTGTTTGTTTGGTTTTCTTTGTTTGTTTGTTGTTTTGTAGCCCAAGTCAATCCTGAACTTGTGGCAATTCTCCTGTCTCAGCCTCATGAGTATTGTGATAACAAACACATAACACCATGCCTGATCTGAAAATAGTATGTGATTGGGATAGTCCTTAGTTCCTCTGCACAGTAATGACTTTGTTGTTCTGTGCCATGTTTGAGGTGTGTCCATGGTGTTCACCAATTTGTGGTACCCAGGGCCTGTGCAGTGAACAGGCTGGGTGCTATCGCTGTCTCTTACCATGAGTTCCACTAGGCAGGGAGGTTAGCAGGTTCTCTGAGAGTAGGGGAGGGCGTTGTGGGCCCCTGCTTCCAGCTTTCTTATTGCTGTCACTCACTAGTTCTGGGAACCTTGCCTTTGTTGTCCTTGTTGCTGTTTCCATTCTTGCTCTTTGTTTCTAAAGATACCATAACTACTTGGAGCAGAGTGTTCTTCATAAATGCAGATTTCTTTTCAGGCTGAAGTATTGTTAGTTCATTGTTACTGCCTTATTAACCAGAAATGTTTTGGAGTACCCATCACTAACACAATACCCAGGCAAAGGGACTTTAAGCAGGCTCTTTGTTCAACAAACAGTGTGAGCATTCTGGAAAAAAATATCATGTCATTTAACCAGCTTCTAGAGTCTCTTTAACAAACTAGAACAATAGGGTCAACAAGGACTTTCTGAATAGAATTTTCATGGCATGGGAGCTAGTCCCTGATGTCAGCAGACAGGACTACATGAAATTAAACAGCCTTTGCATAGCAAAGGAGACCATCAGCCAAGCACACAGACAGCCCACAGCATGGAAGACAAGCTTTGTTAGCTGTGCTTCAGGCAGGGCCTAATGTCTAGAATTTACAAAGAAATGCAGAAACTCAACACCAAAGCAATAAAACTTCCAGCCAACAAGTGGGCTGATGAAACAGTTCTCAAAAGAAGAAACACAGCTGACCAGTGATTACTTTAAAAACTGTCCATATGCCCAGGCATCAAAGAAATGCAAATTAAAACTAGTTTTCGATACCACCTCACCCTAGTTAACTGTCATTAAGAAATTTGACAACAAATACTGGAGAGGATGTGGGGAAAGATAAGCCCTTATTTGTTGCTGGTGGGGGTACAAATTAGTACAGCCATTAAGAAAATCAGTTTGAAGAGACCTCAAAAACCTAAAGCTAGAACTATGTATGACCTAGCCATTCACACCCAAGCACTTGCCTACCACAGAGATATATGCACATCCATTTTTATTGCTGCTCTGGTCAACTGTCTGCAAGGAGATGGAACCAGCCTAGATGCCCATCAGCAGATGAATGGAGAATGAAATGTGGTACATATACAGAATGGAATATTATTCAGCTTAAAAATTAAATCATGAAATGTACAGGAAAATGCATGAGAAATATATTAATCTAGGTGACACAAATTTATGAAGAACCTCATGTTCTATTTCATATGCAGATCCTAGCCTATAATGTGTAGTGTGTATATGTAAACAGGTATAAGTGTGGTGTAGTATACCACTTAGAAAGGAAACCAAGAGAAGCTAATGTTAGGTGACGATGAGCGAGAATGCAGGCAAGAGGGCGTGAGTCGTGGAAAAGGACGTTCAGGTGATTTTTTTTTCTAGTTTGAACTCCATAGTTTTTTTTTTCTCTCTTTCGATGGTATAAATGCATAAAAATTTAATTAATCGTAAATGTGTAAAACACTAAGTGATGCTTCATGACTTCAGAATGGCCATTCTAACTGCAGAAGTTCACTGAGATCCATAGTTCAGGACTGGACAATTGTTGGAGTGGCTACAGTAATCTAGCTGTGCAGTGTCTTATCTGAGTTAAGTAAAATATGGTGATTTTTCTTTATACAGTTTGTAAATAAATAAAATATTTAACAGGCTGATCTAATTCATTATAACTTTCAGACTAAATAAACTTGAAGATACCGTTATACTAATTAAAGGAAAGATTGAAGAAGTGAGTCTTCCTGTAGAAAAGGTGGATGTTATTATATCAGAGTGGATGGTAAGTAAAGTTTAAAAAATTTTCTTTTAAATGAACTTGGTAGCAGTTTTATTCATTATATTTGATAAATGATGATGGCGGCAGCTGTTTAGATAGTGCTGACTTTGTGGCCTCTGCAGATGTAGCAAATGTCTAGGTTTGTAGGGACAACTCCAAGGGCTAAGAAGGATAGGCTAGGGCTGTGCCTTCCAAGTGTCTCCATCCTGCTCTCTGGCCTCTCTGACCTTCTGTGCTGTGCCTTCAGTGGCCTTTCACACACTGTGGAGTTCACTGACTTGTGTTATGTAGCGTTATAGATTGTGTTAAAAGCTTGAGTCAAGGCAGAATATTTAAGTATATAATTAAATGATGGTATTTACCAACGGATAGGAATTATTGATGCAACTTGATGAAATCTTTTCAACTGTATGGAAATTTGAAGATTTTTTTTAAAGTTCTGTATGTTAAACTACATTTTCATATAATAAATTTATTAAAAACAATTTAAGCTGCAATTTTCTATAATTCTTTTATGGACATAGTGACAGTCCAGCAATATAGCAGTAACTTTTGGGAGCTTTCAGAGTGTGAGGGTTTAATACTTGGTGTCTAGTTCAGAGCGAGTATCACCTGGGTGTGGACAGCATAGCCTTAAAGCTTATGTTTCAGTTTCTTCTTTCTTGCAAGTAGGTTTTCAGGACTTGGTTTAGCCTGGTGTATCATTCCAAGAGGCGGGCCCTGCAGCCCTATGGTCTCTCATGCTGCTGGGTGTTGTGTTTCTGGTCAGCTGGCCTGCCGGTGAAGCCCTTGCAGCTGGCACTATGAGGATGGGCACTCTTTCCTGATCTCCTCTGCTTTAAGGGAGAGAAACTCATATATGCATTATTATTGGGAAATTTTTAAGTAATATAGAATTGAGTGTTAAGCAAATACCACTTTATTTACCACAGTGTTTTCTGAGGTAATTAATCTCACCTAACTGTAGCAGTGGCTCGAGATGAGGAAAGATAAAAACCAATTTCCTTCAGTGCACACTGCTTTTTTTTCTTTACATTTCTTACTTCTCTGTTTCTTCATTTGTGGAAGTGTTTTACCTTGGACATCTGCTGACGGCTTCTGCTTGGCTGTCTGCTCCTTAAAGACGTGTGCAGTTTGTTCTGGCGTAAACTCTTTCTCCATTTTATTTTATACTATTTGTATAAATGTTATTGCGATTATAATATATCATTACCCCATTTCCTTACCTCCCCAACCCCTTCGGGGTGTGTGTGTGTATATATGTGTGTCTTCCTAGATACATACATATGCTCAGTCCATGTAATGGTACTTGTGTGCATATGTTTTCAGGGCTGACCTCGTGGTTACCTTTTGCACAAGTTGAAGCTTCTGTCACAGCCGTCATAGCTTATGTTGTTATAGACCGTTGTTATTAAATCTTTTCTCCAGAGGACGAACAACAACTCACTTGGTACTGGCAGATTCCATCACAAGTCTTGGTGTAAATAAATAATGATGGACTCTCTTTGCAAGAGAACTTGTCCTGGCAGAAGTTCACTGGCCCCGATGCAGCTGTATTTGTGAATTTGTATAAGTACGAAGGCAGATGGTGTATGGCAGGTTGAGGATGTTGCTGGGAGTCAGACTGCCTGAGCTCAGCCTCATTTATTACCTCTGGGGCATGTGCTGGAACCTCTCTCTGCCTCGATTTCCTGCTCTGTAAAATGCAGAAACAGTAACACTCATTTCATGGGCTTTTGTGAGGATCAGATGAGCTGCTGCTTACAGATGTCTCAAGATGGTTCTAGTGCATCCTAACATCTCAGGAAACAGCTGTTCAGTTTCGGACAGTAGCACAAGCGAGTGAATGAGTCACTAGACTGGGTTGTGAAGCATAGAATGGCTGAGTAACTGCCCAGATGGCCCTCCTGGACAGCAGGCCTGGCCCTGCAGAGACGGTGCCAGGATTCATCCTGTTCTCCCTCCTTTTGGACATGACATTCAGGGTCATCCTGGGTTTGTCTGGTCTTAGCAACCCTTTCAGTTCTGGAGAACAGCTGTGACCTTGATTCCCTGGATGAGGAGGACAGTGGCACCTACTCCCCGTGTTTCCCATCTTCACAGCTGATAAGTCATCCTGTGGACGTTATGATGGGATTTTAGTGTTTGTTTCTTAACCACTATTCACTGTCAGAATGTTGGCACCAACTCTCCTTTGACCGTGGCCTCTCCATCCTTCACTTCCCATTCATCTCTTCAGCATGACTGCAGTCCCAAGTTCTCGTTCATGTGCACTTAAGTCCTGTATCCCTGATTTGATGGCTGTGAGTGTCTGCTCTGGCCTTAGCTGCTAGACAGTTTCCTGGACCATGCTGTTTCCCACAGAACCTTTTCCATGTCTTGGAGAGAATTGGTTTCAGGCTGATTTCTTTCCCCTGCAGGTGTTTTGTTTTCATGTAGGAATGACTGAGGAGTCCTTAGATACGATACATGTCTGAATGTGGAGAGCCTGTGTCTAGTGTCCCTGGAGGCCATGTTCTTCTGGGCTGCAGTTGTCTGAGTCTTCATTTAGGATATGTCTTTGATGCATCTGCTCTGTCACAGCCTCTGCTTCAGGACCTCGTGTGTTGAGTGTCTGGTCTCCCGATAAGATTTTTTTTTTCAGTCTCTAGTCCTTGCCCTGTGTTAGATTTTCCTCCAGTCCTTCCTGATCATTGGTGCTTTTGTCTTATGTAGTGATTGCTAAGTCTTTCCTTGGTTCACTTTCCTGGTTTTCAGCATTTCATCTTGTTGCTTTACTTTCTCGTCTTTGAATCCCATTCCTGTTTTATACTGAGTAATGTCCAAGTGTTCCATAAGTTGTGCTCGTTACCAGGCTGAAATCTACATCTTTTGCTCATTATCCTCTCGAATTTATTGTATGGACTGATGGAAAGGAACAGTCATGGAGTGTTGTGTAGCTGCTGTGCTTTGCTTTGTTTTTTTCCTCCTTCTGCAAATGCATGGGCTCTGTGCAGATTTGCCTAACATTAACATTCACAGAATGTTGTGTCACATAGAGGTAGGTAGTAAATGGCTGTTCAGGGCCTGATACTTATTATGTACCCTAATAAACTTCCCTGGGGATCGGAGGAGAGTCCACAACCAGGAGAGAAGAAGTGAAAAATCCAGCCATCTTGATCCAGCCCACATGGGATGGAGACTCTGGTCATGTGCAGCTCAAGACTGAGCTGGGGCCTGTAAGGCCACAAGCAAGGGGCTTTTTCGTGAATTTGTGCCACATATGTTGGGCTCCAGATGTAGCATGACTCTTAAAGGGTCTTATAATAAAAAATCCAGTGCCAGATATTGGGGTGAAAGCTGAAAGATCAGAGAAGCAGAACAGCCAGCCACTAGCTTACCTGTACAAAATCCTCAGCCTCAAGAGAGCAAGTTCCTATTTCCTCACACCTTATATACCTTTCTGTGTCCTGCCATATTACTTCCTGGGATTAAAGGCGTGTGTCACCACTGCCTAGTTCTTTTTCTCTCATGCAGCCCAGTGTAGCCATGAACTCACAGAGATCCAGATGGATCTCTGCCTCCCGAGTTATAGGATTAAAGGTGTGTGCCACCACTGCCTGACCTCTGTCTCTAATTTAGTGGCTGGCTCTGTCCTCTGATCCTCAGGTAAGCTTTATTGGGGTACACAATATATCACCACAGATACTGGCCTAAGATAACTTGGCTCTGGACCTGCAGCATTCCAACCTTCCACATTCTTGGAGTTCAGTCAGTCAGCCTTTATAGATACATCTTCTTGGGAACTTTCACTCACACAGCCCCTTGTCAACTTGAAATACAGGAAGTACACAAGGAATTTACCTTATTGACTTTGGCAGGATTTTAGATTACTAGCTTTGGCTCAGTTCTTTGCGCCACATCAAGCATTAAATTAGGACTTTATTCCCTGAGGCTGATTTGTGCTTGAAAGTCCTTCAAAGTGGGGTAGAGTGAGGAGGAAACAGTACCAAGCTGCTTGGGTGGGTTACGGAATTCGTTGTGTTTGGCCAGCCTTGTTATATGGGACAGTGTCTTGTTATATGGGGCAGTGTCTTGTTATATGGGGCAGTGTCTTGTTGTATGGGGCAGTGTCTTGTTATATGGGGCAGTGTCTTGTTATATGGGGCAGTGTCTTGTTATATGGGGCAGTGTCTTGCAATCTCACCTGAGCTGCACCTCTTGCTGCTTCACCAGGTTTAGCAAATACCATTGGGAGAGAAGCTTACCATGCATCTAACAAGATGGTCTTTTCTTACTATACATTTGCTGTATTTGGAAGATTGAGGTCTTGTTATTTTAATTCTCCAATCATACTGCTAGTTATCATTTCCTATAGTCTTGACATCGTGTGTGTGCGTGTGTGTGTGTGTGTGTGTTATGGAGTCACTCTTAAGTGTTTATGGTACTATAGCAAAGTACTTGAGGCTGGGTAATTTGTAGATATAGACAATAAAAATTTCCAAAAATTCACAGTTTGCAAAGCTGTAAGTCCAAAGTCAAGGTTCTGGCAGGTTCTGTGTCTGGTCAAGGTCTGGTGTCAGCTACCAAGACAGTATGTTTTTGTTGTGTGCCCTAGAGGCCTGGACACTGTCTTCACATAGACAAGGACAGAAAGGGGGCAAGCCCGCTACCTCAAATGTGAGCAGCTTCCAACTCACAGCTCAATTCCTGTGTAAAAGTCTCTGGTTCTATTCTTTTGAGACAGGGTCTTCCAAGCTGACGTCACATATAGCCCTGGCTAGCCCTGAACTCACTGTGTTCCTGCTTCAGTCTCCTCAGTGTGGGATTATAGGCATGCTCCACCATGGCTAGCTTTCCTTCCATCTCCCATGTTTATAGTCAACTTTTAGTTAGCATACAATATAAAGTGCTTTATTATAACATTTTCACATATGTATGTCATTGTATGTTGCTCATAATCTCCCACTGGCCTGCCTTCCCCTTCCCTGCTCTTCCTACACGGCTTGCCTCCTCTACATGGC